ACAAGACTCTCTTTTCAAAAAGAAAGACAAAAAAATTTAGATGAATAACTGGTTAAGCTACCAATATAATAAAAAAAAATACTCTCCAAATTAATTTATAGATTTAATGCTATACCAATAGGCAAACAAGACCCAGAAGTAACTAGTGATAAAAAAAATAAAATAACACAAGGCTACCAACTACTAAGGTAAGTATTCCCATTTGACACAAACTTACAATAACTGGAAAGCAGCACGACATAAATTAGGTTTATTCCAATATCTTATACCTTTAATTAGTTGCAAATGGATATATGCCCTAAGTAAAACCCTATCTTGGAAAAGGAAATTGGAAACATCAAATATGGACTCCCTAGGAAAAAATCCCCAGGACCAGATGGATTAACAAGTGAATTCTACTAAACATTTAAAGAACAATTAGTTCCAATACTATGTAAACTATTTGAAAGAATAGGTAAAGGAGTACTACCAAATTCCTTCTATGACACAAATATGGTTTCAATACCTAAATCAGAGAGAGCAACAACAGAGAAAGAAAACTGTAAGCAAAATTCTCTAATGAATATTGATGCAAAAATTTTAAATAAATTACTAGCCAAGAGATTACAGTAACATATCATAATGATCATATATTATGACCAGGTCAGATTTAAACCAGGAACGCAGGGCTGGTTCAATATTAGAAAAACTATTGGGATAATTGACCATGTTAGTAAAAAAAACAACAAAAACCATATGATTATCACAATAGATGCAGAAAAACCATTTGACAAAATACAACACCCATTCCTATTAAAAACAGCAGAAAGTATAGGAGTAAATGGAGCTTTTCTTAAAATGCTAAGTAGTATCTATGTAAAACAAAGAATAAGCATTATCTGCAATGGGAATTAACTAGAAGCCAGCTCAATAAGATTAAAAGTAAAGCAAGGATATCCATTATCACCATTATTATTCAATATTATACTAGAAATACTAGCTATAGGAATACAACAAGAAAAAGAAATGGAAGTGATAGGCATAGCAATGAGGAAATAAAACTATCACTCTTTGCAGAAGATGTGATGGCATACTTAAAAAATCCTAGAGAATCAACTTAGCAAAGTGTCAGGATATAAAATGAACCCACACAAATCATCAGCATGTCTGTATACTCCCAACAAAACACAGCAGGAAGAGATAGAAAGAGAAATTCCATTTAAAATAACTGCAGATGATATAAAATACTTGGGAGTCTAGCTGCTAAGACAAACCCAGAAACTATATTAACACGATTATAAAATGCTTTTCACACAAATGCAGATCTAAACAACTAGAGAAGTATTAATTGCTTATGGGTAGGCCTAGCCAGTATAATAAAAACGACAATTCTACCTAAATTAATTTACTCACTTAGTGCCATGCCAATTAAAATGCCAAAAATTATTTTATAGAGCTAGGAAAAAATAATAACAATTCAACTGAAAGAACAAAAGGTCAAGAATATCAGGGGAATCAATAAAAAAAAAGGAAGGCGGTATAGTACTAGATTTCAAACTAAATTACAAAGGAGTAATCATCATAATAATCTGGAACTGGATAAGAAATAGAATGGTGGATCATTGGAATAGATTAGGTACACAGCTATTTGTGCAGTCATTTAATCATGCTTGACTTTTCACCACCCTCTGCAGGGTTTTCTTGGTCAGTTGGGTGGCACAGTGGATTGAGTGCTGTGCCTGGGTTCAGGAAGAATTGAGTTCAAATCTGGTCTCAGACATTTACTAGCTGTGCAACTCTGGGCAAGTCGCTTAACCCTGTTTGCCTCAGTTACCTCATCTATAAAATGAGCTGAAGAAGGAAATGCCAAGAAAACCCCAAAGGAGTCATAAAGAGTTGGACATGACTGAAAAACGACTAAACATGTACACAATAGTAAATGACCTTAGTAATCTAGAATTTGATAAACCCAAAGATCCAAACTTTGGGGATAAGAACTCACTATTTGACAAAATTTTCTGAGAAAACTAAACAAAAGTTTGGCAGAAACTAGGCATAGTCCAACATCTCACACTGTATACCAAGATAAGGTCAAAATGGGTACATGATTTAGAGATAAAGTATGATATCATAGCAAATTAGAGAATCATGGAAAATTTTACCTGTCAGAACTATGTATAAAGGAAGATTCTATGACCAAACAAGAGATAGGGAAAATCACTGGAAGTATAATTTTGATTACATGAAATTAAAAAGGTTTTTCACAAACAAAAACAATGCAGCCAAAATTAGAAGGAAGGCAGGGAATTGGGAAAAACTTTTTTACAGCAAGTTTCTCTGAGAAAGAGCTCATTTCTCAAATATATAGAGAACTAAGTCAAATTTATAAAAATAAGAACCATTCCTCAATTAGTAAATGGTCAAAAGATATGAACAGGCAGTTTTCAGACAAAGAAATCAAAGTTATCTATAGTCATATAAAAAATGTTCTAAATCACAATTAATTAGAGAAATGCAAATTAAGACAACTCTGAGGTACCATCTCACACCTATCAGATTGGCTAATATGACAGAAAAAGAAAATGAAAAATGCTAGGTGGAATGTGGAAAAATAGGGACACTAATGTACTATTGATGGAGTTGTGAACTAGTCAACCATTCCAGAGAACAATTTGCAACTATGCCCAAAGGGATATAAAACTGTGTATACCCTTTGAGCCAGCAATACCACTACTAGATCTGTATCCCAAAGAGATCAAAGAAAAAGGAAAAGGATCTATATGTACAAAAAAAAATCTAGAAGAGCTCTTTCTGTTGTGGCAAAAAAAAAAAATGGAAGAGGAGACACCCATTAATTAGGGAATGGCAAAACAAGTTGTGATAAATGTTTGTGATGGAATACTATTGTGCTGTAAGAAATGATAAAGGAGATGGTTTCAGATAAACCTGGGAAGACCTATATGAATTGATGCAAATGAAATGAGCAGAACCAGGAGAACATTGTATACTGTTACAGCAATATTTTAACAATGATAACTGTGGAAGACTTAGCTACTTTCATCAAGACAATGACCCAAGGCAGTTCCAAAGGACCCATGATGAAAAATGCTATCTACCTTCAGAGAAAGAGCTGATAAACACTGAGTGTAAATTGAATATAATTTTTTCTACTTTCTTAATTTTTCTTGCTTTTTTTGCAACATGGCTAATATGGAAATATTAGCATGTAAAATTGATATCATATTGCTTGCCTTCATGGGTGGGGGAGGAATTGGAGAAAGGAAGAGAATCTGGAACTCAAAACTTTAAAAATAAAAAAAAGTTTAAAATAAATAAATAATCAATTGAAATATAATATATAGCTTAAAGTAAGAGATATGAGAAGACATACATTATTTGAGGTGAGAAGGCACAGAATCCATACCAGGGCTTCTCAAATCATATGATTGACTATCTCCAAAAGTCTCATGATGGAAAATGTTATCCACATCCAAAGAAAGAATTGTAGAGTTTGAATGCAGATCAAAACATACTATTTGCTATTGTTTTTTCTGTTTTGTTTTGTTTCCTCTTTCTTGTAGTTCCTTCTATTGGTTCTAATTCTTCCTTATAACATGACTAATGTGAATATATATATATATATATGCATAGCCTATATAAGATTGTGCACCATCTTGGGAAGGGAGGACGGAATAGAGGGGAGAAAAATTTAAAACTCAAAAGCTTATAAAAGTGATTGTTGATAAATCAAAATAAATTAATGAAAAATTTTAAAAAATTAATGATTGACTACGTCTAAAAGTATGGTCTGAATGGTGCTCTACCAATCAGTATATTAGGAGGGGGTAATACTTTTTTCACAAACAGAGGTAGACTTAGTCTCCGTTCGGTTTCTTTTGGGGGATAGGGCAGCATAAGAACTACAAAAGCATTCATGTCCATCAATTTTGAAGAAGAACCTCTGCTTCATACATCATGTGTCATGGGGCACATGGGCTTGTCACATCCTTTAGTTCAGTGTTTCCCACCATACAGAACCCTCATAAAGGTGTGCAGGTGCGCAGAGAAGATATAGCCTTGGACTAGTTTTATCGTGTGTTTGAAACAAGTTGTTCAAGTTCTCATCATCTGAAAAAGAGGTAAAACACTCCCTCTAGTGTTTTCAATGGAGAAGGGAAAAAAGTTTGCAGCAATTTTTTTTAATAAAGTTCTACTATCTAAATTATAAAGGAATGTAAATGGGCAGGTCTCAGTGGAAGAAATTAAAATTATCAATAGTTATGTCAAAAAATGTTCTAAACCACTAAAAATGAGATATATAGAAATTAAAACAATTCTGGTATTGCAGATCACTCATAAGATTAGCAAAGATGACCCTTCTCCCCCCAAAAAGGGGGATGGAGTATCACAGGTAAGTAATAGAAAGAAAGCCAATTAGTCCAATAAGGCGGGAAAAATAAGTTGTACAGACCTCTAAAATCAGAACCAAGTTTATATTTATCCTAAACACAGTAAGAAGCCTTTGGAGTTAAGCATGGGAGTAACATGATCAGATATTCAGTTACAGAAAATTGACAAGAGCATGTAGGGTAGACTGGAGTGATGAGATTTGAGTCAAAGAGATCAATTAAATGCTGTTGCAATAATCTAGACAAGAGTCTCTTAGGACCTAAACTGAGGTGATGCTGTTCATGTGGAGGGATGAGGTCAGGTGTGACAGATACTGCGAAGGTAGAAGGGACAAGATCACCCCACAGGAAGTAGACAAGTCAAAGGACTAACGAGTGTGCACAAACAATTCAGAAAACACATAATGAACTTAGAATAGCCCTTAAACAGTTAATATCATTCTACTCCTCCAATGATTCCCACTTGTCTCTAGGGTCCTAAAGTCCTCTAAACTCAGTGCTAACCCATAGTTTAAATTCCTTTCAAAAGAGAACTAACTGTACTTGCAGATAGTAGACAATATTCTGGGAGTCTTATCATGCTGTAGAGGTCCTCAGAGGGATTTAACTCACCTAGATGGGAAACACATTTGTGGGTGCTGGACAGGCAATTTTTCTTCCCATTGGACCTACACCAAAGAACCTAGGGTAGTAGAAAAGATCACATCCTTACTGATCCATATTGTGGCTTTAGCCACTACCAGTTCTTTTTCAAGGACCAAGAACCACATGCATGATCTTCTTTCTCCAAGAGGCATGCTGGAAGAATTTCTATTCTTATTTATTTTATTTTTTTATTTGGATTTTATTTTCTTTTCAAATCCACATTCTCTCTTTCCCACATCCCCTACACACACACACACACACACACACACACACACACACACACACACACACAGAGCTACTAACTGAGAAAGCAAAGCAAAACCCCTGTTACACACATGTAAAATCAAAGCAAAGTAAATTCATGCATTAGCATGTATACATATATACACATGTGCATGCACAAAAAGTATAACATACACATATGCATGTATATATGTGTATGTGTATGCACACCTGTGTAGATAGATAGATATCAACTTGAACTCTAAGACTGGGGAACACATTTCATCATGAGTCCTCTGGAATTATGGTTGGTTATTTCTCTGATCAGAGTTGCTAAGTCCTTCAAAAATTGTCTTTATAATCATTTTTATTATTATATAAATTGTTCTCCTCACACTACTCATTTTGATCTGCATCAGTTCATACAAGTCTTACAAGGTTTCTTGGAAACCATCACCTTCATGATTTCTTAAAGCACAACAGTATTCTACCACATACATATGCCATAACTTTTTCAGGCATTCTCAAATTTATGGGCACCCCACCCACAGAATTTCCAATTATTTGCCATCACAAAAAGAGCTGCTACAATTGTTTTGCAAGTATAAAACAAATTTTGTTGTTCTTTTCCTGTTTATTTGTTCTTTTTGGAGTACAGATCTAGTAGTGTAATCATCGGGTCAAAGAGTGTGCACAGTTTAGTAGCTTTTGGGCCACGAACTGAACTAGTTATAGCTCTGCCAACAGTGCATTAATATGCTGCTTTCCCACAGCCCCTCTAGCATATGTTGTTTCCCTTTGCTGTAAACTTTGTCAATCTGACAAATGTGAGATGCAACTTCAGAGTTATTTTAACTTGCTTTTCACTAATTATTAGTGGTTTAGAGCATTTTTTCATATAACTATTGATGGCTTGGATTTCATCCTCTAAAAACTGCCTAACTGGCCCTTTGACTATTTATTAATTAGGGAGTTTTTCTTCTTATTATAAATATTAATTAGTTCTCTATATAACTGAGAAATGAGGGCTTTATCAAAAAACTTTGCAGCAAAGATTGTTCTCCCTAGCTTCCTGCTTTTCTTTTAATTTTAGCTGCATTACTTTTGTTCGTACAAAACCTTTTCAATTTTACGTGATCAAAATTGGGCATTTTGTGTTCTGTAATCAGGAGAAAAGCAGCAATATCCTGATCTAATTGGAAATGTCTCCAATCTATCACCATTACAGATAGAGTGATTCTTGGTTTTAGATAAATATTATATATCATATTAAAGAAAAATACATTAATTCCTATGCCTCCTAGTGTTTCTTTTTTAAACAGAAATGGTTGTTACATTTTGTCAAAGTATTTTTTCTGTACTTATTGACATAATTATATGATTTCTGTTATTAATATGGGGAATTACATTTATCATTTTCTTAATGTTGAACCAGCTCTGTATTCTTGCTATAAATCTAGTCTGGTCCTAGTGTCCAAGTTTTGTGATATGTTGCTATAGTCTCCTTTTAATATTTTAAGATTTATTTTATCAATATTCATTAGGGATATTTGTCAATAGTTTTCATTCTGTGATTTGACTTTCCCTAGTTTTGGTATCAATATCATACTTATAAAAGAAATTTAGTAGAACCTCTTCTTTTCCTACTCTTTCAGTTTATGTAGTATTGGAATTAACTATTCTTATTTTTTATTTTTAATTAATTAATTTATTTTTAGTTTTCAACATTCACTTTCACAAGATTTTGAGTTCCAAATTTTTTCCCATCTCTCCCCTCCCCCCACCCCAAGACAGCATACATTCTGAATACCCCTTCCCTTGATCTGCACTCCCTTTTATGACCTCTCCTTCTCTTATCCTTTTCCCCTTCTATTTTCTTGTAGGGCAGGATAGATTTCTATACGCATTGCCTGAATATCTTATTTCCCATTTGCATGTAAAAACCAATTTTTAACATTTGTTTTTAAAACTTTGGGTTCTAAATTCTCTCCCTTCCTCCCTCCTCACCCACCCTCATTGAGAAGGCAAGCAGCTTGATACAGGTTATACATATGTAGTCATTCAAAACACTTCCATAGTAGTCATGTTGTGAAAAACTAACTACATTTTCCTTCTTCCTATCCCACCCCAAATTTGTTCTATTCTTTCCTTTGACCCTGTTCCTCCTCAAAAGTGTTTGCTTCTGATTACCCCCTTCCCCAATCTGCCCTCCCTTCTATCATCCCCCCCCATCTCTCTTATCCCCTTCCTCCCTATTTCCCTGTAGGGTAAGATGGATTTCCATACCCAATTGAGTGTGTATGTTATTCCTTCCATTAGCCAAATCCAATGAGAGTAAGATTCATTCATTTCCTCCTACCTCCCCACTCTTCACCTCCACACTAAAAGCTTTTTCTTCCCTCTTTTGTGTAAGATAATTTACCCCATGCTACCTCTCCCTTTCTTCTCCCAGTACAATCCTCTCTCTTACTCCTTAATTTTATACTTTAGATATCATACCTGCATATTTAACTCACCCTGTGCCCTCTATCTCTATATGTATTCCCTTCAACTATCCTAATACTGAGAAAGGTCTCATGAGTTACAAATATTAACTTTCCATGTAGGAATGTAAACAGTTCAATGTTAAGAAGTCCTTTATGATTTCTCTTTCCTGTTCACCTCTTCATGCTTCTCTTGAGTCTTGTATTTGAAAGTCAAATTTTCTATTCAGCTCTGGTCTTTTCATTAAGAATGCTTGAAAATCCTATTTCACTGAATATCCATTTTTTTTCCCCTGAAGGACTATGCTCAGTTTTGTTGGGTAGATGATACAGAAGAAGCTAATGGGGGGAAGGCAAATAGTACTGGAACCTTCTCTCATTGGGAATGAGCTAAAGAGGGAACAAGTGTACGTATGTGTGTATGTGAATGTATGTATGTATATGTATATGTAGGCATGTATAATAGTCTTCTAAAATCAGAAAGAAGTGAGAAGGCAAAGGGATAAGATGAGGGAAAGGATAAAGGAGGGACTCATAGAGGAATTGGTGGTTACGGAATAGGAGGGCAAGGTAGAGGGTAGAAGTAAAGCAGAGGAGTGAGTGAGGAGGGATAGGGTAAATAGGGTGTGAAGGACAGCAAAGTAAAACAGGAAGGAGGAAAATACACAAGCAATTAATTATAGCTTAGAATGTGAATGGGATGAATTAATCCATAAAATATAAATGGATAGCAGATTAAAAATTTGAATTCACTTTCAGGAAAAGTAAAAATGAGAGATACAAAGATAAAATAAAAAGCAGAGGTAGAATTTAGTATGTAAAAAAAAAGCAGGGATAAGTAATCATGATCTCAGACACAGTTAAAGTTAAAATAGATTTAATCAAAAGGAAAAATGGAGAAACTACACTGTCAGCAATATTATTCAATATGGTTTTAGAGACCATTTAAAATACCTAGACAGTATAAAATACCTGAGTGTGTACCTGCCAAAACAGGAACAGGAACTATATGAATATAAACATAAAATACTTTTTATACAAATAAAGTCAGATCTAAATAATTGAAGTAATATTTATTGTGCACGGATAGGTTAAGCCAATATAATTTTTAAAGTGACAATTTTACCTAACCAATCTATTTATTCTATGCCATTTCAATTAAATTACTAAAAAAAAGTATTTTACTGAGTTAGAAAAAAATAATAACAAAGTTCATTCAGAAGAACAAAAAGTCAGGAACTTGAAAGAAACCAGGGTAAAAAGATGTAAAAGAAGTAGATTCGGCAGTATCAGACCTTAAACTAGACTGTAAGGTGATAGTATTGTTGGAGTGTGAAAAGGATAATTTCAATTATTTCAAACTAAAATTTTCTTGTATAAATAAAACCTATGTAGGCAAGAATAGAAGGAACGCAGAAAATTGGGGGAAAAAACTTTCATAGACAATCTCTCAGATAGGTTGTGATTGAGTTGGAATATTGCTGTGGTATAGGAAAGGATAAGGTGGTTGATTTAGAAAAACATGGAAAGAGTTGGACTTAGGAAGGAAGGTGCTATCCACCTTCAGAGAAACAGATGATAGGAGGAAATAAGCATAGTACAGTCTTACATATATGTATATGAGTGGCTATGTGTATGTTTATAGATATCTATATCTATATATATTCACACTTAATTGTAGCCTTCTTTAGGGTGGTGGGGGGAGAGAGAGGAAAAAAATAAAGTAAAAACTACACAGCAGAGAACCAAAAAAACCCAACAAGGAAGGAAAGAAAAGCTGGGCAGCTTTGAAAACAATGTGTAGTATTTATTATATAGGTTTTCTTGAAATGGAAATTTATTGTTTTTACACTGAATCCTCTCTTATGGTCTACCATGTACATGGCAATATTTTTTTCTTTTCTTATTTTGTATTTAAAGTTTAAAATTTTTTTAAAAAATTTACAAAAAAAAAAAAACGAAAAAACAACCAGCTTCTAGTTTTAAATACAATGGAGTTTTGCTTTGGTTTGGTTTGGGTATTTTTGCTTTCAATTTCATAAAGCTCTTCTTTGATTTTCAGGATTCCCATTTTGGCATTTAATTGGGAAAGAAGAGGTTGATTTGTTGGCATTTTAGATGTTTTTAATTGAATGCCCAATTCATAGATCTACTCTTTTCATCTTTTATTAATGAAAGTGTTTAGAGATATACATTTTCCCCAAGTACTACTTTGGCTGTATCCCTAAAATACTGTTATATTGTCTCATTGTTGTCATTATCTTTAATGAAATTGTTGATTGTTTCAATGATTTATTTTTGATTGACCCTTTCTTTTGGATTAATTTATTTA